GGTTGTTGAAAGCTTATTGACGAAATACAATAATTCAATTTTATAGTTACGGATCATAAGAAATAATATAATAAAACATAAATTATGAAATATATTGAAACATTTATTCATGGAACGATTACGCGATAGCTTCAGTTAGGATTCAAAACCTTTTGATTAAGATGAAAGTGAATCATTCTAGAAATGAATACACTTCATCAGAAAAGTAGAGCATTAAAACAAATAATACTTTATCAATTAACATCAATTATGAGTTGTGAGTACATATACAAGGATGAAACAAAACTTCAAACAAAATCAAGTTGAAGATCACTTGCAATTGGCCTATTCAGCTATACTTGCACTCGTCATTAAAGTATGAATCATTCAAACAACTTCAAGGCGCTGAGGAAAAATTACGAAAATTTCAAAACAATAAGAAAGAATCTCCTTAATAAAACCAAGAGATCGCTCTCATAAAATCCCGTAGCAATTTATTTCCATACGAAATAAGGTAATTCTACTGACTCAACTTCGTTTTGCCACCATAATACAGAAACGTCCTAACAGAAAGAGGATTAACAAAAAACTTATATCGATTATTTCAGAGATCTTTTTTTCATATTGCTCTTCTTTCGTAGCAATTTTATATTTTTAGCATGAGTTTCAGAGGATCCTCGCTTTTTGAATCCTTTATGTTTCAGTGGTTCGTGATCTGAAGATTCCGACTCTGTAGAGTCGTCGCCTTCTTGTTCATTTTCGCTCTCCTCATCCGATTCATTCGTGGGCGACTTTACGGCTGAACCTTTTCCTACCTTTGCGGCATTTTCAGATATTACTTCAACATCCGAGTTCTCATCACTCGAAGACTGTTGTTCCTCATTCGACAGTCCACTGTTCTCAGCTATTCCCTCATTCGCCGACTCTTCACTTTCATACATTTCTTCATCAGAAACCGATTCGTCCTCATTACCGCTTTCAGATTCATCCTCGTTACTCTCGTCTGAGTCTTTTTCACCTTCATCACCAATCAAATCATCAAAAAAACTATTCGATACTTTCAATTTTTTTCCCTTTTGTTTCGACAAATCATTTGAACGCATTATCGGTATCTGAAATAAAACCAGTCTTCATTCACTTCTAATTTTTCGTCAATCACTTTAGTATTAGCCTGAATTTTGGAGAAAATTTTTTTGAAAAAATTCGAATATTTGGTTAACGTCAATTTAGTCCTCATTGGCTCTGATCATCCCAGTTGACAATGATTATAAATAATCCAACAGACTGATTAAGCACACGTGAGTTGAACTAGAAATATTAACGAGATGATTGAATCACCAGCCTTATCGAGAAGATGAGGTACATTCCAGAACTTCACGGTTGATTTCATCATACCAACAGAAATAAGCCAAAAATGATCATTAGTAAGTGTGAGTTGTTGCACACCACCTTCATGCGTACCAAGGGAACCAAGTGTTTTATTCGGATCAACGTGAATCAATCTGAACGATAGAAATTATCACTCTGAACATTTTTACCTCGTTCAGTCTTCGTTGCTACTGCTAACGGCTTTCGTCATACTTTTTGAGAACGTTTTAAAACTGCTGAAACATCTCACCAAAAAAAAATGCTCGGCATTCCCTCACCTAATATCACTCAATCAAATCTCATACCTCTCATTCAGCAATACCGAAAATCACACTATGACAATGATTTTCATTGTAGTTGAAAGAAATTGACAAATGAAATAGAAATAATAAACACCTAATATCAGGGCTTTCATTTGATGATGTCAATAAAATATCATCTCTAATCGAACGAACGCAATCAATACCCATTGAATGTGGTGTTTCGATACGTTCCAAAATATTGCCATATTCATCTCGCTTGAACACCTCCAAGTAGCCATCACCATTTCCAACATACGTGAATCTGGAAAGTGCATGAAAGTGACTGAATGTGAGATGACGGAGAAATCGGATTTTGAAATGATATTCCGTACTTCGTAAAGAATGAATAAACCATTACCAACATCATCCCGGTTGACAAACTAATATATAAGGTAATAAAAGGTCATCGAATCTGATTGATAATAAAAGGAAAGACAATGCACAGAGTAATTTAACTTGATTTACAACGGGTCGAAATTTCTGACTGATGCACTCACTTCTTTGTCGATGTAATTGAAAGCAATTCACTGCTCATTGGCTCTGATCGAACGATCAGTTTCCGATTTCTCAAATCATAAGCACCTAACGTTCCATCTGAACATGCTGCCAACAATTTATTACCACAAACATCCAACTGATTCACGATATCTTCTAGATCATCAAAGCTTGTTATCTGCGGACTCGATACCCGCATGTCCCATGTTCGAATCTAAAATCAAATGTTTAACACTCATTCATCAAAAAATTAAGGATCAGTCAACTGCGAGTGCTTATGCATAAAAGAAGATGCACATAAAAGAGATGATACAGGCAACTGACAACGTTTTCAGCTAATACCGAAATTCATTATCATATTATATTGTCAAACGAAGATAGAATTTTACTAAGCTAGGCTGAATTAATACGCGTACACAAGAAGTGTTTCTACCTGTCCACTTTCGTCAGCCGTTGCAAGTTGTTGTCCTTTCGTTGATGAAGACGGCAACGTACGGAGCTCGTTCGGTTTGTCATCGTGACACTTCAGAATACACCGAACGCTGAAGTTGATGCAAACGAAT